AACTCTTTCACAAGGAGTTCTACTGCTATTAGATTTAATTTACCAAAGATCATTCTAATTTGTGATACACAGGTTATAAATTTGTTACAAGAATGAATTTTCAATTACTGTGATCACCTCATGGCATACAAAGTTTTCTTAGTTTTAGTAATTCTCATGCAATAATTTGTAATAATATTATAATCATGCAGTCTAATTAATGCAACCGAATACTAATGAATCATAGTAAATAATAATCAATAACAAATTAAATAATATGAAATGTAAATTTTATAAGAAATCTTCAATATTATAGAATGTCCTATCATTTAGGTAATTAAATAATAATTTCTTAAATTCTGCACAATCGTTGGAATTCCCAATTTCAAGTAGAAGTTTGTTATATACCTTCGTAGCCATTACTATTACACTCTTTTGAAGTAGAGCAGTTTTACATGATCTACTTTTCAGTTGATGAGAACGGCGGGCTCGTGTGACGAATTCAAATAAATGAAGATGACGCTTTACGAAAAGTGAAATTTCAAATATATATAAGCATGGTAGAGTTAGTATTTTCAAATTTTTAAAATGTGACAGCTATCTGTTTTTTTTAAGCCGCATATAGTCCGAATACATCTCTTTTGCCTTTGAATATGCGTTCAATTTGCGGTGCACTTCCCTAAAAAATGATTCCATAGGTTGGTTGCTACATAATCATGGTAGACGGTCACTAAAGCGTTTAAATTTACTATTTTCGATAGCCTAAACAATGCATACCTAAGAGAACTTTTGTATCTTACCACATTCATATTCTAGGTGTGTTTGCCATTTTAGATTATTATCTATATATAAACCTAAGAACTTTACTGTCATTGTTTCACCGACCTCCTTGCTTTCATAGATCACTCTAGTTTCACTCTCGTTCGCATTTGACATAAAAAAACCAAATTCAAATTTCCAAATCAAGTATTGGCTTTATTCGCATTATGCGTCGTTTAATTCCTTCATATATTACTTATTTGACAATAATCGTTTCGGATGAGAACGCGTGTGGACCCCCCTGTTACGGCCCTGAAACGTTGGTTCGTTTGAAAGAACCTATGAACCTGATCATCATTATCATCTCAGCTCGTCAACACCCACCGCTTTTGCACGCCAGCTCAATCGGTTCTGTCCGAGTCTCATCCACGGTCTTCCGGCCACCTCGACGATATCGTCCAACCATCCAGCAGGTGGGTTGCCTCGAGGACGTCTCGCTCCTACCGGGTACCACTCAGTGACCGCTTTGGTCCATCGGTCATCCCTAGCAACCTATCCTGCCCATCTCCATTTTAGGCCCGCGATACGTATACCGAGGTATATGACTTTTGTTCGCTGATAATAATATTTTTCTTTTATACAAACATTGCGACGTGCTAGGTTTTAGCAGCATTCGTCAAATTTATCAGGGTACGTATCTACGGTTAGGCAATTCAATCAAAAGGCGCAAAATAGAGTATCTTGGTCACGATCAGGAACAATAAATACAAGCTGCTACAGCTAATAATGAAGGGCAAATTGCAGGGAAAGAGACGCGCTGGGCGATGCAAGAAATCATGGCTGCGGAACATCCGGCAGTGGACCGGCAATGTCTCCGTCGACGAGACAGATACAGGAAGCTAACGGCCAACTTTCAGCATTGAAGAGGCACTCTAAGAAGAAGAAGTTAGATAATTCACATGTCAAGTTGTAACTCGTGTCAAAGTCAATTTATAAAAAAAAATATATATAAAAAAGGTAGTTATGCACTGACCACTACCGAATGTCGGCTGTTAAGAGCTAAAGTACGATCTTATATTCAGGCCATTTACGGCGCGTGGTTCGATAATAGCTGCAAACCGTTCTTCAAGATACTAAACATATTGCCGTTGCCATTAGGGATATGTGTATTTGTCAACTCTCATCGTCAATAATAAAACACGTGTTGACCAAACAGAGACCAAATATTCAATTCCATTAACATCTGCTTGCAGATTGAATACGATGTACTTGATTATGCAAGTTGAATACAATATAAGATATGACAAATTCTGCCACGACAAGATATTGCTACTTAAATCTTATAAAAATAAATTTTAATACTTTGCCTTTGAAGTGATTTTTTTCTTTTTAAAATGATAAAATTACTTAAAGTTACACCGAGAAAATTTATCGATAACAACGTTGACGTGGTCCCAGCACTCGCCGTTGGCCCACATAAATCATGGAAGACATACGCCCTATCTGTTGCCAGCTTAATACGATCCTCTGAGGGGGTGGAAGGGGGGTATCTCGATGTTATTTTTTTACAATTTATGTACAGGATATTGTAAGCTACAAAGCATTTATGCAATCCCGGGTTTAGAGGTATGAAATAATGTGTACCTTACACATTGCATTGTTCTTCAATAATCAAAATCAAAAGACAATTGAAGTCAATCTTTTTAACCGACTTAAAAAAGGAGGAGGTTCTCGATTCGAAATTATTTTTTTGCGTACGTAACATACACGCTACGTGATTTGTGAATCGAATTTTATTATACTTTTTTTGTTGGAAAGGGGGAGGGTGTTTAAAAAAGCCGCGGTAGCTTAACGTTATGATATATCAATCACAGGCCGTGGGTTCGAATCCGGGCCTGCACCCCTCAGTTTCTCGAAAATTATGTGCGAAATTTGCCACGAAATTTTTGGCGAAGGAAAACATTGTGATGAGACCTTCACGTCAAAGAAGGTTCACAACCCTCGCAAACCGTGTGAAGTCCCCAACCCGTAACCCGTGGTACACTACGGCCTACATATACCTCAGTTGATGATGATGATATTTCAGAACCATGAGATTTTTATAATTTGTTTTTCGAAATTACTCTACTAATTTGTTTATCACTACACACATATTATAAACCCTCTATGATGTGTTCGAAAACCGCAAATTGCGACCAGCTTAAAGATAAACTGTTTTGTTAGAACAAATTTCTTATCTGTGAAAATGTTAATAACACAAATTCGATTTTATTTTATTACACTCAAATTTCGAACATCTTTGAAAAACAAAACAATTTTATTCGACCTCAATTCTAATATCAGTCGAGATGAAGTTTTATTCGAAATGAAATGTCAATAGCAAACAATTTTGACAAATTTTACACGTTAGTTGATATCGAGCGATATGATAGTAAAGGCCGACTCTAGTTTGTCTATGAGTTAAATAAAAACAACGGTTGTGTGACATGCGTAAGAAAGTTTTTATTTGCCGCCATTTCGCCAGTCGTAACATGCGGTTCCTGAACACATCACAGAGAGCTTATAACATGTGTGTAGATAAAGCAGTGTAGGTAACTGTATATAATTCGGTATTAAAACACTCGTGTGATGTTCTTATGAAACTCGCTTATCGGCTTCCTCACAAACCCACACTCGTCTTTTAATGCCTTTCTTTATGTGACAGTAACATAAACTACTATATTATTATTAATACAAAATCAACACCTTTGCTTTAGATTATAATTACAATAATGTACTAGAGATTCACTTCAATTACCTGGTCTCAAAGTTGAGAATTCCCTGTGCTATGATTACCGTAACAACGAATATTAGCCCCGGATCATTACCCAGAACAGTAATTAAAAATAAAAATAAATTGCAGTCTTAGAATAATAACGCATTGAATGATAGTTTCATATCAAACGAACAGTCACAAGTGAGGCAAAAATCAAATTCATGTAGGCTAGTTTTAGTAGCAGGTTAATTTTCGGTTTTAGTGAATATTTATATAAAAATACAAGTTGAAACGCGTTACTTCCTTGTGGAATGTGATGTTAGTATATATTTTATGTTTGTCTGACGTATTTTTACACTCATTTACCGCACATTTCGTCATTTTTAGCTAAAACTCTTGAGCTGTTCGCGGTGCAAGTTGACCTTGAGCACTGAAGGCCCGACCGCTTGTGTAGGCCCATTGGGAGCGCTTCAATTTGCCTCACTTAGCGTGTGCGGACTAGGTTTCTATGCGTTATTATTCTAAGATTGCAGTACTTAAATGGAGGTTTTGTCATTGTCACAGTTATGGCAGTTAAAAATAATAATTATTATTATGATACTTGATACTTGTTTTGAACATTTATAAACTGGGTTCAAATGACACAGTTACGTAGAGGTAGTAAGTGTAGGTCATATGTCAGCTACACTTCTTCTCAACGTAGCATGAACCATTGTAACCCTTTAGGGTTACACCCTTCGATGAAATATATCGGTAGGTAACACTGTAGTAGCTCAAAAAGTGCACTCTTAGGAAGGCAAAAATCACCGATATGCATTCATTCGAAACACGATACCAAAGTGCGCAGTTACAAATTGCAAAAACTAAAACTAAGTATAAAGAAAGATGTAGAATCGCACTTAACTAATTGTATCATCTAGTTTAATTATTACTTGATTTTCTCTTTAATTTAGGGCATTATAATTTAATTTTATTACCATTTATCAATACAAAAAGAAAAAAATATATAACGTACAGTCAAAAGCACGTCCAGCTTGACACTTTGTACATACGCCAGCGCATTGGCGTATCTCGTTCCGTTGCACTGGAGGTGATTTTCGTACAAAAATGTGTAGTATGATGTGCCGTTGATGTTTTTGGATCGTTCTTACCGTAAACGGTATAGAGTTGGAATTAAATCTTAAGTGTCAAGCTAGAAGTGCTCTTGACCCTGTACAAACTAGATGCGATACGGTAGCTGCCGGAATTCCCAAGATTGCGTCTTGGGAATTCCGTGACGACGCGTAAAGACGTGGGTCATATTTTTTATTTGATTTCCAAGGATACATATGCACTTATCTAAATAAACTCCATCCAACCACCACAGGCTGAAACAAATTTTTCAACAGCAAAAACCTTTTAAAACTAAGTAGGTATACCTGGCATTTGCAGTTCTCAAAATAGATTTGGCTAAAAACATACACGAGTTATCAACTTTTTCAAAAGCAAAATGATGTTTGTGACATACCTGTACGCCATACGAATCTGCTCCCCATTTTTATACCACACCAGCTGTGCTGGAGGGTTCCCACCACGGCTCCGGCAGACCAGTTCCAGGCTCTGGCCTCGGCGGACGGTCTCGCCTTCCGCATAACCTTCTATGTAGGGGGCACCTGGTGGGTCTGTGAATTAAAAAGAATGAGTATTGGTTAGTTATACTGTTTACTAATTAGTTTATTGACTGTCAGGATGTTCACCACCATGATATTCAATAATTTTTTTTTGAAATTACTCCACTAGTTTCTTATAATTACCTATTAATACAAAGATCAAACAATTAGAAAAAATTCCTTCCATCGGGATGGATTCGATTTTTCTATGTGCTTGTTATAGATCCGTTTCGAAACTATGGATTTAAGTAGACGGCACGGTTTCCGGACAAAATTCCTGAACCGATATGCATGAAAAAAAATTGTTTTAAAGAAACATAAGTTCTACTTTTGAATTTCAAATTTTAAAGTGTATGGGAAAAATATTCAATTATAAAATTTTGCGCGTATAAATTTACAAAAATAAGAAAGCTGCGCGTAGGTGGGAAATCGATATTCTGCCTAGTTTCTAGTCATTTCGTTATGATTCTTATGTTACATCAAACGTCGGCTCTACTCTAAAAAACAAAACAAAAAAGTATTCTGAAAAATCATGGTAGGAAATTCTAAATACATTTTAAATAATAGAAAACCTACCAACGTCTCTTTTATATTAAGAAAAAAATTAACTTTTCTGTTCAGAGAACGGCTTTTTAAAAATTAGCCCTTTCATGTGGTTGTTATATAGAAAATTGCCTCAATTTTGTCTGTTAAATGGCTGCGCTTTATTTTTCATTTAGCTTTATTGGACAAGAACGAACCGAAATAAAACAAAGACATAAAACTGAAAAGGTTATATTTGAACTAATTTTATTTTATGAAATATGTCGGTTTGTCATTTTGTTTTTTCTACCATGTATTAACTTTTTGTGTAAATACTCAACTAGTTTATTATTATTATTGATACAAAAAATTAGCTACGTAGGTAGCCACGGTGAGGCAACAGACGCTGGTACGAGTACAGTTAAATCGAAGGAATTTTCTTTGTGTTTATTTCATTTATGTATTAGTATTAAAATATACAAATTTATATGTAATATTCATAATTGTTCAGAATTGACGCTGTCTGCGTAGTGGTGGTGTAATTTACATTATTTTTTCTTTCAACTTTTAATGAAATATTTTTTATACATGAAAACATCTTCCAAGTAAGTTTTATTGACAGCCGTGTCAGATATATCGATCTAGTATTTTATAGTTATGCCACATTTACATTGTATTTTAATATTGTTAATCGTTGCTTTTAGTAAGAACCTTTGTTTTGTAATATGGTATCGTAACGTACTAGTTACTTTTGTGGTAAAACGTTTTTTGTAACTGGCAACATGGGATATAAAAAGATTTAGCCTGACATCCAGCAGCAATATCGACGATTTTTTGGCGCATAAATCGAGTTAAATCTGGGTAATTATGGTTCAATTACTACGCTTCACTTTGTCTTCTTTAATGTTAACAATGTGCTAGGCAACCGCACCCATTACCCGGCCTCGTTCTCTCGGTCTCCGTCCGAAACAATTACACGATAAAATCAAAAGATGCATCATGAGAATGAAACTTCATACTTGACATTGTTTTCTTATTTTGTCGAGCATTACTTATTTGACGTTTATTGTTACGGACCGATGTCGGGAGCGAGAGTAGATCCCCAGGTCTCAAACAAGGGAATTTCCTGTATTATGACCATCACAGCAACGACCACTTAGCGCCTACACAACCGAGGTCCTCAAAAATTCATCACACAAGTAGACATATATCTCCCACTGAAGTACGCAGTATATGTATCCGTTAAACAACAATCCGTGATAGTGACCCGTGTAGTTCATGCAGGTCGTCTCGATCTATGTATGTTGTTTGAAATAAATATTGTAAATGATCTAAGGTCTCTTGCTCATTCTTCTCAGGGGACTCTGCCTTGCGGTCCAGGGAAGTACTGCCTATCCTATTTCCGCACCAAACAATAATGTGAGCATTACTGGGTTCCGGTTTTGAAGAGTAAATGTGCTGGTTAAATGACAGGCACGTGGAACTTGACAACTTACGTCTCAGTGGCAGTGCTCGTCAAATATTTGCGATTTAAAGCTCTTAGTGGCACTGCAACTGTTATGGACGAGCGTGTCGCTTACCACCAGGTCACTTGGCAGCATAAAAAAATCTTTCTCTTCCGCCACTCGCAATACTTCAATAAATACTGTTGAAAAACAAATTTTAATTTCGCTTAGGAGGACACAGGTCAAACTCCTCGTTAAGGTTCTTTTAGTTCGCCTCGTTGACGCCTCCGGTGACCAGAAAGCTGGTAATTACTGCCGATAAAGAATAAGTTTGACGATCTAAAGGGTAAAGTTTGCCCCAGAATACGATGCCCCGGGCCAAGATTAAATTTTCGCTTTAACAGGTATTATAGTATCCCCTACAATTGTGTAAATTATATTATATACTAAATACATTATACAACATTAAAACCTCTTTAAAATCACAATTTACTCCTACAGCTGTAATTATATTCACATTCGCTCATGCACTTGCATATCATACAGGTTATTTTAGATGCACTATTTACACTTTACTATGTATATTATTATTGTCAATGTATAACTTTACGCATAGCCCTTATATTTTTGTTTTCAAATAACTTAATCCCCTTCGTTGGTCCTGACTGAAAACCAGCGCCTTAGGACACTTTGGCATATGCTGAGTCAGTGCCGTTTCACTGCTATGACAATCATGTTATGTTTTTCTTTTATGCTTAATCTGTATTTGTGTTATAACAGTGAATAAAGTGTTTATCTATCTATCTAATTTTCTAATATTTTCTTCCGTATACATCAAAATGTACATAATACAAGAGATTCTTCAGACCCAGACATTTCGTATCATCATGTAAACGCCCAGTGTGCATTATAATGAAAATATCGCATTCAAAGTTAGCGCTATATATTATGTATGATCATAGGATATCTAGGTACGTTTTATATACAAAGGCCTGAAGCTTGGGCGTTTAGCGCTTTTCCTATTTGTAATTCGCTGGTTAAAATATTTACTGAAATTCGTCAAGTGCTTTTTAAAAATATAATAGACACACGGCCTTGATTAGAATCTCAAGTGATTTAAGCGAATATATGACCGAAAATTTTCCACAAAACACAATTAAGCAACGACAACAACCAAATAAACAACGCAACTGTCCAAATTGCAACGTGATAAACCAGCGTTAGAAAAAAGTTTCGTAAAAATTTAATCGCCTTACATTTTTCTCTTTTTGTTTTCCCAAAAAGGGAAGTCAAGATTTGCGTACAAAGAGAACGGTAAACACTTTTCCGAGTGACTACGGGGAAATTGCCTTCCTAAAGTTCATTAACCCATGGGATTTTTTCCTCATGTACAGTCGACGCGATTGATTGCTGTTGTGAGCTTGTTAGACGCCGCCCTGTTGAGTATGACTGGATGGCTCACGGAGATAGACGCGGACCGACAGACGTTGGTTTGGACCGACAAACGTTGTGTTTATCCCGATTGTTCGCAGTCTCATTTGGTGCTAGGCGATATTGATACGCGTTAGTTTTGGCCTTGGATAGCCCTATATTGCTGCTTTCGGGAATCACAAATGACGGCAGTGTATTCCATTTTTGGCGAACGAATCAGGAAAGATAAAGCAAAGCGCTTATGCGAATGGATGGTAAGTCAAGGACATAATGATTATGGACTCAATTATTGATTATGGGCGTAGCAGTAGCTACGGGCGTACTTATAAATCGTACCTAGATAATATATATAAATTACAAGTTAGCATAATTAAGACAATTGTATCAAATAAAATAAAAAACAAATATAAGGATAACGATCCCGGTCTTTTTTACCACTGTAAGGTAATGTCGGTCTTTAACAAGTCGAATGTGTCAATATTACTGGACCAATTTGAAAATGTCAATTTATTAACAAAAACAAACAGGCTTAATAAATTACGTACCCTTACCTACCTACCTGAGTTTAAACTACCTAGAATCACCAATACTTACGGTATGAGGACTACAAAGTACATATTACCAAAAATTGTAAATAAAATACCAGTACAATTGCATAAAGATATGTTTATAAATGTAAAAAAATGTAAACAAGTTTTAAAAAAGTATTACTTGGGTTGTATGTTGGACCCATAACAATAGTGGCGAGTATGCGATGCATTCTACCTTCGCATAAACCCTTTGAAGGGTTTTTGAAAGTAGTCTTAATATAAGTTTTTAGTTTCAGTTGGTTTTGAATAAATAAATTAAAAAAAAAAAAAATGGCAATTGTTACAAACGCTTCTACCAGACAGGCATAAGAAAACGCCTGAAACTTGATCCTCGGTTTTATTTCAATGGTATTTAAAGCAAAAGTGCGTTGTCGACTGTACATAAAAGGGAAAATGGATTTTACGTCATTTAACAAAGCGGCGTAAGCGAAAGCAGAAATTCGTGAAGGGAGCTACATTAACAAGAGCAATGTTCTTAAATGAAATTAAGATGTTAGAGGAGACTGAAAATTCTTGGTCCCTTGGTCGATTTTTGAAATTTCAAAGGAGTCCTTATAGCAAAACAAGTTTGAATTCAGATAATGGGCTTAAAAAGGCGTTACCTATTAAAAGAAAGAGCAAAGACTGTCAAATCTCGACGCCAAACGTGATGCTCTTCGAGGTTACAATAACTGCAGCCTCCTTTTACAACTCTGTCGACAGTGTCCTCATGTGTCGCCACTGTTTACAAATAATATTGGCTACTGTAGCCTCCTAAGGGCTCATTCTAAACAATAGCAATAGCCGAAACCGGCAAAGATCAATTGCCTGGTCTGAAACAAGACAATATCTTTCACTATGATTATATTATCAGAGTTGTGAATTTTAAAAGTGTGACACTGGGACCGTTAAAAAAAGTTTGTTTGTCCACCTGTCCTTCTATCATAAGTATTCACAATTTTATGTACTTGGTAGTCGCTAGAGACCGATTAAAATATTTGTGTTAATTTTAATTCTTCCAGCGACCACTTTTATTTTCAAATTC